GTCCAAACATGTATGACATTCTGTCTTGTGTGGAAGACAAAATAAGAACTTTTGAAGGATTTTGATAACTAAACAGTTTTGGTTTCCATTGACTTACATTGAATTTTGTGTCCATACAGTGGATGTCAAAAGGAAGAGCAAACTGTTTAGTTATCAACATGTTTCCAAATATCTTATTTTGTCTTCCAAAGAAGAAAGAAATTTGGAATGACATGAGGGTGAGTAAAGGATGACATAATTTTAATTATTGGATTAACAGGTAAACATAAGGCAGATGGACTTTATAGGTATCATATCAATTTAACCATGAATGTTTCACCACATTGAATTTCTTTCTTTAATAGCATTACAAATTCAAATGTAAGTCTTCTGATAAGAGACACTATTTCTTTACTTGGTTCTGTTTGTGATTTATTTGCACATTCTCCAAGGAATATTTGCTCCACCTCTGTCAAAACAGGTTGAGAACATGGGTATTCTTCTGGTCTTATTACAGATTTCCCAACTGGATTGAAGTCAGTGCTCTGGCGGAGGTGTTCCAGAATAACAACCATTTTCTTGCTAGTTTTTCCCCTTGTGTGCTTATCCCTGCTGATGAAATGAATGTTGCCCCTGATTACAGATCTCTGGCTGGCTGAAATAGATGCAATGGTTGAAGTACAACGACACTCAAACACACCCAACTTTCTTCCCTCATCTTTTCCACCTTGCCAAAAAATACTTGTCAATACCAGCTACATCTGTGCAATGTGAACAAGTTTTTTCTAAAGCAGAAGTTCTGTGCAAAAAAAAAAAAATCATTTAAATGTTAAAACACTGGAACAACTTCTAAACTTAAATAAAAACTCATAATGGTATTTCTGTCTTGTTTTCTTCTTGTCACAGTTTTATTTTTTTAAACATCACTTCCCTTTCACACACACTTATAAAACAACAAAAACAAAAACAAAATAATAATAATAAAATAAATAAAGAAAGAAATGCATTCTTGTAAAGCATACCTGAACCTCAAAATATAGCTATCATCCTCCTATTGAGTCACAACATTACCCCTTTACTTTGCTAGTGTTTTATAGGCAGCATAATGACAAACACATGTTTATAATTAAAAAGGTGTTAATAATGGCATATGAATGGTCTGATTAGCAAAAACCTTAACTAAAACACAGTACACAACCCAGATAGCCCACGAACTTCTGCAAGATGTCTGTTGCTTCATCTGGAAAGCATCTGCTGTGTACAAACATCTGATATAGACGTCTTTAAGATGTCAGATTTACAGACATTCTAAACCATAAACATCTTAAAGACATTTTCTAAACGTCTATTTGACATCTGATAGGAAACGTCCTATCGACGTATTGCAGATGAGCAAACACTCTAAAAAACATATGTCTTGCAGATATGTCAAATAGACGTCTCCGTGATGCTATCAGGTAAGCATTCATATTTAATGGTATTTATTGATTTCGCTAATTTTATTGAAAACATTACACTGTTTTCTAGATATTTGCAATTGCTTTGAAAAAGGTGTCATTTTGTTTGGGCCTAGTTCTGGTTGCTTTACACTATTTCGACCAGCAGATGTCACCAGCGTGTGGTGTTTCGAACGCTTCGAAACAGTGAATCAGTTTCTCCCATCACTACATAATACTCAAGATCAAAGGTGCATTCAGTATTTTTGAGCTCATTTAAAATGTTTTACACATTAATAAATAATGTTTTTGTAAAAAAGACTTAATGGTGTGCACCCACATCATACGAAGAATGTACTTAAAAGTATTTGCATAGATTTTGTTTTATTTTTATTATGCAATAGACCAATTCAGAGTGCGCGCACATAGTGATTGCAGAAAAACACTGGGAACAAGTGGAGGTAAATGGGTAAAATCCATGGAATAAAATAAAACATATATTTTTGTGCCTTTTGATGTCAAGATTAGAATGCAAATAATTTTTATAGGATACTGTCGTCAAAGACGCCATTTGAAGCTAAACGCAGACGTTTAAATGGACATACTATGGATGAAAACTGCTATGATTACTCTACTTTTAAAGCATAAATTCGATTTAAACAATAGGTCTACATAATATTCACATATGCTGTTCATAGGGGACGTACCTTTTTTAATTCTTTTATTCCATGCCACTTGAAAACCGTCATATTCTGCCTCCAGATAGGCTCCGCCCACACAAACCGTCACCCCTGTTTCGGATCTGTAAGACTATCGCACTCTCTAACGTCAATTTCGTTGAATAACAGTGCTTATCGCTGGGTGACAAGCTCTTGTAATATGCGGAGAACATATTATCATAGATAATTTATAATCTTTTTAAACCTAACTATTTTGTACCGTATCCGTGAAATTCTCTAGCCGTAAAGGCTATCTCTCCCGGGTTCCCTCTCGAGCTTTCACAAGACATCACGGAGATATCTCTCCGTTATGGGAACTCCTTCCATTCCAACCTTTCCTGAAGTCCTATTGGCTCCCGCCAGTCCAAATGACTGGCCAATTGACGCGAAGTCCAACGGTCACCCCGTTCCCCGGTCTCACTCCCCGAGGACTGCTTGCGCCCTCCTTCCAACATTGCGGAGTTTGTACCCTTTAGCCAGGAGGAGGGGGATGACTCGATGTCCATCTCGGCCTCAGAGAGGGAGGATTGGGTGGGATCGGAGTCCGATCAGCCGGACAGCATGGGGCCCTCAGACCTCCAGGAGGAGCTCATGAGGGTTCTCTCAAGGGCTGTCCAGGAGTTGGAGCTTACCTGGAGTCCTCCAGAGGAGCCTGCCAGGAGTAAGCTTGACTCCTGGTATTTCAGGTCCACCTGGAAAGCTGACTCGAGGACGTCGGTCCCCTTTTTCCCCGACGTACATGAGCAGCTGGTAAAAACATGGTCTGCGCCCCAATCAGCGCGCGTCCACTCTGCCACACAGGCCACTTTTTCCCACGTGGATGGGGCGGAGGCCCACGGGCACGTGCGCTCTCCCCCAGTCAAGGAGACCGTCGCTGCGCACCTGTGTCCTGCAGCAGCCAAGGCCCTAGGCTCAGACATCAGCCTCCCCTCAAAGCCGTGCAGGACCACCGCCCACCTTGCCAATAAAGCATATGCGTCTGATGGCGAGGCGGCTTCCGCGCTGTACACCATGGCAGTGCTGCAGGTTTTTCAGGCGAAGCTCCTGCAGGCAGCGGAGGGCAGAGCCCTCACGGCAGAGGCCGTTAAGGATCTGCGCGCGGCGACGGACTTCGCGCTGATGG